TCTTCTAAAAAAATTGACGTGTGCAGAGCATTTACGTGTTGGAAAAAAAGGTCGTATTTGCATTTTTTTTTTTTTGCAAGTATTTCCTAATAAGTGTACAGCTCGTATTATCAACTGTGTAATATGAAAACTTTAATCTGTTTGCTAGTCTAGCATCCGGCTGTAATTCTATATAGACCTTAGGACGCTCATAAAAAACGTGTCATTTGTAAACTTTTCTGCATTAACTACAATGATGTGTAAATTTTTTTGTGTATTTGAGAAAAAAGAAGTCAAAATTTTTATAAAATATATAGTATCAATATTTTTAAATAGGTTTATGAAAATATATAAAGTGACTAATTTAATAATATTTATTTATTATTATAAAAATAATATTTTTTATATTTTTTAATTAAACTTGAGGTTAGTTGATTTATTTTAGAAAAGAGGAAGTAAGCTCTGAAATTTCTGAAGGCAAGAGACTGTCCGGAACCAAACAAATGAGAAATCGACACCTGATTGATATGGCCGTGTTCACCCGGAACGTCCCATGGGGATCGGACGCCAGGCATGACGCACTCACGACGCCCGATCCCGGGTCGTCGCCCGTCGGAGCTCCCTTTCACTGGTGCTCCTTAAAGAAGAGACGAGCTTGGAGCTTGTCCCTGCCACCGCCTCCGCTACCTCCCTCTCCATTATTGCCCAAGAGTCTGCTGGCCGCCTCTGGCTCTCTGCCATGGCCATGGCATCCACCGGTGAGGCACTCTCGCCGCCGGCCATGGAGATGCGACCATTGGACAACTATTGTCCGGCCAAGGCACGCCCACCACCATACACCATCTTCTTCACTCCAATTTCTTCATCATGTTTGCCGCCTGGACATATCAGCACTGCTGCTGTTTCCTTCTCCTTGCGATAATCAGTGTCCCATTTTTATTGTTTTTATTTTACTACTTTCGTCCATTCTTTCATTTTGACAATATATATATATATATATATATATATATATATAGCTTTCGAAACCGTTTCAAACATGAAGTTATTAAAAATTCAAGTCCTTCAAAGAAAGGATTAGAGCTAACAAGTAACAAGGTACTTATTAGTGTCGTTTTACAACGGAATGATTGGATTTTAATGTCAGATTTGTGCCAAGATTTCTGATTTGGACGTAGTGAATACGAGAGGTAAGAAAAATTCAAGCGTTTTATAGCCTCCTAAGTCCTAAAACCTGAAGTTTTGTTTATGCCTTTATTACATTTAGTTTGTACTGAAACTTCAGATGCTTTACATTTTAGTTACAGTCACATACAGCCTGCCTGGTACATGACAGAAGGGGGGTAACAACAATTCGAGTGCTATAGTACAAAGTTAAATCAGTTTCTTCAAAATAGTACAAAGTTAAATTAAACTCTTTTCTGCAAAAACAAAAGCTAAACCCAATCTGAACCCAAACTTGATGTCTGAAAAATCAAATTTTGGAGGTTCTTGGACAGTTAGATGTTGTATAGAGTATAGACGCGACAATTTTGGAACAAAGGAAGATCATTCAAGCTTGAGATTTGCTTGTGTCTCTGCCCTCTGCTGATCAACCAAACTACAAACTCTGCAGCTCGCCACGGTTTCTCTTGCACCCAAAGGGAGGCGTACGGCGTCAGACGCGCCGCAGGAAGGGGAAGGCCGGTGGAGCGCGCAGGAGAAGCCGACGACCGATGACTGGCTTCCCGTCAACGCGAGGAGGAACGCCAAGTGGTGGTACGCCGCCTTCCACAATGTCACCGCCATGGTCGGCGCCGGCGTGCTTACCCTCCCCTACGCCATGTCCGAGCTCGGCTGGTCCGTCTCGTCATCTATCTTCCATCCATAATATAGGCTGTGTCATGTCATGAATACAGCAGTTTTGATGGCTCGTCGTCTTCCTCCCTTCCGGCCGATCACGACTTGTTCGCAGGGGTGTCGGCGTCACGGTGCTGGTCTTGTCGTGGATCATCACGGTGTACACGCTATGGCAGATGGTGGAGATGCACGAGTGCGTCCCGGGGAAGCGGTTCGACCGGTACCACGAGCTGGGGCAGCACGCGTTCGGCGAGAAGCTCGGCCTCTGGATCGTGGTGCCGCAGCAGCTGGTGGTGGAGGTGGGCCTCAACATCGTCTACATGATCACCGGCGGCCAGTCTCTGCAGAAGTTCCACGACGTGGTCTGCCATGGCCGGTGCAAGCGCATCAAGCTCCGCTACTTCATCATGATCTTCGCCTCCGTCCACTTCGTGCTCTCCCAGCTCCCCGACTTCCACTCCATCTCCAGCGTCTCCCTGGCCGCCGCCGTCATGTCGGTCAGCTACTCGGCGATCGCGTGGATCGCGTCAGCGGTGCACGGGACGGCGGAGACGGAGGCCGACTACAGCCTACGCGCGACGACCACGCCGGGGAAGGTGTTCGGCTTCCTGGGGGCGCTGGGCGACGTGGCGTTCACGTACGCTGGGCACAACGTGGTGCTGGAGATCCAGGCCACCATCCCGTCGACGCCGGGGAAGCCGTCCAAGAAGCCCATGTGGAAGGGCGTCGTGGTCGCCTACGTCATCATCGCCGCGTGCTACTTCCCCGTCGCTCTCGTCGGCTACTGGGCCTTCGGCAACGGCGTCGACGAGAACATCCTCATCACCCTCAACAGGCCGCCCTGGCTCATCGCCGCCGCCAACATGATGGTCGTCGTCCACGTCGTCGGCAGCTACCAGTTGTACGCCATGCCGGTGTTCGACATGATCGAGACCGTGCTGGTGAAGAAGTATTGGTTCAGGCCAGGACTCAGGCTCCGTCTCATTGCCCGGACTGTCTATGTTGGTAATGCCTCTGCCTGAAATCTGAACTGAAAACCTGTAGTGCCAATCACACTGCACTGCACACACTGACACACAAGACTGACATGAGATGCAATGCAACAACCTGTGCAGCGCTCACAATGTTCGTAGCCATCACCTTCCCCTTCTTCAGTGAACTGCTCAGTTTCTTCGGTGGATTCGCCTACGCACCGACAAGCTATTTCGTGAGCTCGCAATGATCCATTTTGATTTTTCTGCTACAGTAGTTTCATTTCATCAGGATGTGCAGTACAGTCAGTCAGGTTCAGGTTTCTTGCATCAGAGCTGACCGAATCTCTCTTGTTAATTTCTGTCAGCTTCCCTGCATCATGTGGCTCATCATCTACAAGCCCAGAAGGTTCAGCCTCTCATGGTTCACCAACTGGGTAAGAATAACATGGATGCAATGCAACTGACTATCCAGAGTATTTTTCTCTCTTCAGCATCAAAATGTGTCTGCTTGACCTGTACTTTCTTTCCCCTGTTTTCTACATGTTCTTCAGGTATGTATTGTTATTGGGGTGCTACTGATGGTGCTGTCACCGATTGGAGGACTCCGGCAGATAATTCTGAAAATCAAGACGTACAAATTCTACCAAGACTACCCTGGTTTAAGCCATAATTAGCAGGCGCCATCATCAGCTAAAACTAGTTTCTGAATCTGATCGATGCCATGAAATTCCATTTTTTTTTCTCAAGAGTTAGATACATGTACAGTCTCATGAGTCATGACTCGTGATGATCCGTGACCTGCTGTAGTTCTGTTAATTTTGTCTTGAACCACGAGTTGGTTTGGGATTATCATATGCATACATGTATGTTGTACGGAGTATGTCAATATTCTAGGGGAAATGTTTGTTTGTGTTCAGTTTGGACTTTGATAAGAGTAGCTTCTAGTTGGGACCTTCAGAAAGATGTCTGGGCCTTACATGCTCTTTATTTTAGATGTTGGCCTTTTCACTCGCACCACGAGTAGAAGTTCCATTCTTTCACCATAACACTGTGTGTTCAGTATTCTGATGTTCTTCAAATGATTCTTCATAACATATTACTCCCTCCATCTAAATTAAATTATAGTTCACTTTAGCTCCATCCCAAATCAAATTTCTATAGCTTTACTCAAGTTTTGTTAAAAAAATCAAATAAACATATTACCAAACAGCTTACAACTTTTTCACTCGCAGCTCACTTAACCCTTAATTTGGAAGAGGGAGTAGAACTTACGAGGGAACGAGGACAAAAATTAGTTTATCCTTCACACCAATTCACATGTACTAGGAGAACGATTTTATCCAAACAAGCAAATGTATTATGAAATTCTAGGCGGACATACGAATTCAAGGCCACATGGAAGGAGGTCAACTACCCTCCTTGCTACAACATTATCTAAGCGCCTTATCCACTCTACAGCCTTACATAATTCTACACTAACGGCGTCAACCGTCAAAGACCCATGCATGTGACCTACGATAATACTATTATAAACAGGTCGGTAAATATCACTACTGAAAGATCCCGTGTACATACATGACAAGCTACATAACAAAACTTCTGTGTCAAAGCAATAAGCAACAGGATCCCAAAGCAATATGAAAGAGCAACATCTCATGAAAACTTGTACTCCGGAAAAAAAAAAGTGAACTGATCGGTGAAGAACAGGCACTGCATAAATTAAAGGCAATGTTTTCCATCTATCAGGCTAACTTTTGTACAGTTTCCGATGTTACATTCACAACACGGAAATGGCTCTAAAACTACCCCTCAAAAACGGCTCGCACCTGCTCAGGAGCCAAGAACCATCACCATCCCCCAACCCTCTCTCCTTTTCATCCCCCTTTTATGGCCTCATCATATATGCAATAAACTCGCCATTCCATTTTTATGGATATGGAAAGTCCAGAGAGATTCTCAATCCAAACGATAGGGACGCTCCATGCACTCCTCACATGCAGCACGACGAACTTCCGACAAGTTTGAGGATTGCTACACCATTAGCCAACTTGGCTCCAAAACTTGGGCAGTTACAAAAATGAATACCAGACCCTTCAGGTTCGATGCGACACGATCTTTCGTCAGGTCCCTTTGTATACCAAAGAAAAGCTATGCAGATCAGTCATGCCAACAGGTCTTCTGTAACGTATCAAAAATGGTCCAAAAACACAGTTAATCTATTTCTCCCTCTTCAACATCAGCCACTGGCTCATCTGTGAAATCAGCATCCTCATCATCTTCATCATTTTTCATGTACAACCCGAGCTTTTCTAGGGTGTTGCTTCCCATTTGAAACCCAGGACTTGTTTCACCAACCAAGTTGGGTATCTGTTCACCTGTGACACTTCCGAGCATTTCAAGATCTTTCAAAAAATGGCTACCTTCATTGATGTCAACAGTTTTCTCCATCTGCAAGCCAACATTGCGGGTAACACTTCAAGTATGGTAACAACAGAGCATATGATGTTGCATGTGGGGAGCATACAGTAGATATTACCTCTTGCAAAGCTTTGCGAGCTGCTTCTCTCTCAAGTTCTCTTTGTCGTTTAGCTTCTGCAGCAGCCTCAGCAGCAGCTGCTGCTTCAGCCCTCTTGCGAACATCCTCTGCAGCTTTAGCCTCAGCTTGCAACCGAGCTCTCTCTGTAACAGAAGTTCTGTCACACAACTGTTGTCGGCTAAAAATGATTCTATTGCATCTCACCTTCTCTTTGTACCCTCTCAAGTTCCTCCCTTTCACGTCGAAGCTTCTCAGGATCCTTTTTTGTAGTCTGATATTATTACCAATCAGGTGAGCTTACAGCGAATAACACAAAACGCCCAGACAATAATGCGCTCAAGGAATCATTTTCACATACACACCTGATCAAGGGTCTTTTCACGAGCCTTAAGAATCGTATCGGCAAAGCGGCTTCTCAGAAGGGCAGCTCGGATTTGCTTGTCAGGGTTGTCAGGGGAGACCTGCTTCTCAGATACAATTCCCCCTAAAATTTTCATACATAGACCTGTAAGGTAACCCATTTTCTCTACCATAGAAGATTGGGTATTCACCGGCCATCATGAAAATTCATGCTTACCCTCACCATCAGCAGAAACAGGTATAGGGTTTGTACTTTGCTCTGGTAAATTTAATGTGTTCAGTGAATCTGCAAATTAAATCAAATGTGTAAGATATAAGTGGTTATATATTCCTGGGTTGCAAAGCCCAGGAAATGTTATCTGCAAACATTTAGAGGTGTAGTGTCAACTGTCCTTTCTTTTCAATAAAACAAGTTATGTATAGGAATTGTATAGAAAGAAAAGGTCCAATTCAAAGGCAATAAGGGAATGATCCTACTCAAAAGACATGCACAATTATCGACCTCTGAATATCACACCCAATAATTGACCCATGAAAACAAACTCTAGACCTGCCACTACTAACAGATTGCTATTCATCAGATTTAAACAAATAAAATTTGGATGGGCAGTTCAACCAATTGGTTCAGTAAATCTCAGGCCAAGTGTAACCTGAATCACTGTCTACAACAACAACAACAACAAAGCCTTTAAGTCCCAAACAAGTTGGGGTAGGCTAGAGTTGAAACCCAGCAGAAGCAATCAAGGTTCAGGCACATGAATAGCTGTTTTCCAAGCACTCCTATCTAAGGCTAAGTCTTTGGGTATATTCCATCCTTTCAAGTCCCCTTTTATTGCCTCTACCCAAGTCAACTTCGGTCTTCCTTTGCCTCTCTTCACGTTACTATCCTGGCTTAGGATTCCACTACGCACCGGTGCCTCTGGAGGTCTCCGTTGGACATGTCCAAACCATCTCAACCGGTGTTGGACAAGCTTTTCTTCAATTGGTGCTACCCCTAATCTATCACGTATATCATCATTCCGGACTCGATCCCTTCTCGTATGACCGCAAATCCAACGCAACATACGCGTTTCCGCGACATGTCTAGGATACAAAAATCAAATCCATCAGCTCACACAACACAAGACAGTAATTGCACATGTACTAATTATCTCATCTAGAAGAAAAGTGTGAAATACTTTTTTTTTTTAAAAAAAGGTAGGGATTTGGACATGTATGTATCATTGCATCATTATTCTCATTGAGTTTTGTGTTGGGTTCCATAAGGTTATGTTCGTAGGCGAAAAACAGGAGGGTTTGATTGAGATTCCAAATACTGATACACCTATGAAGCAAAACTTACCCTTTTCCTTATCCAAGCCATCCACAGGTAGAATTTTTTCCTGCATGTAGACAAGAGAATACAGAGAGAGAGAGAGAGAGAGAGACAACAACCATTGAGATAGTGTCTTAAAATATCCTTCGCATCAACAGAAAGAGATAAATTTGATTGAAACTTCTGCTACTCTGAAAAGGATTCAGATTAAAAAGAGATATATAAGAACCTTTGGCCCGCTGCTTTGTTGAGGAGCTTTGGCATCTGTATCACTTCCAGAAGAGCTACTTGAATCTGAGTCTTCAGAGGTAAAAACAGAAATATCAGCAGTGTGCTTGACATGACAACTCAGGCAAGTTAAGGACATTGGACACAACAAAGAGAAACAGTATGCAGCAATTGTACATGTTGTCTCCATTCTTGTTCTATAACCCTTTACATTAAGGCTAAGCAAGACTGAAAGGAAGTATATAACCACAAATATATATTATTTACATTTTGATTTTTTTATGGCTTGGCTCTGAGACAAAAAAAAATTGGAAAGCAGCAATTGGTTGGCTACATAGAATCCAATTTTTAGATTTGTACTTGAAACTAAATCATCAAATTATAATACACCCCCATCAAGATAATGCCATACAGATAAAATGTCACTTTTCAAATATGAACAGTTAGGGTCCTGATAATTAATTGAATGGATCCAAAGAGAACCTTCTAAAAGAACACTGGTTTTTTCCATCAGTGGTATAATTCACTCTGAACTAAAGACAAATGTTTCATCTTTCTGAATCATAACCAAAGAATACCCACAATTGTTGTAGTAGAATGCACAGAACAGTCCAGAAATACAGAAGGATAATCAAATGTGTTGATTTATCAACTGACCATGCTAATAAACAAATGATTCATGAACGCATATCAATAGCAGAAGCTAGATCCTATTATTCAGTGAAATACTTGGGAAAAAAATGTTTCTTTATGGACTTCATAACAGTTGTCAGCATTAATAGTTAAAGTTTTTGTAACTGGTTAAAACTATTGCATTCTCTAATAAATTAGAGCTGCTGTGCAAGGATAAAGATATGCAGGTGAGAAGGAAGGTAGGCCATCACAAAGAAGCATTCCAGTTTCTATTCCCTTATAATTCATGGATTTATGAAATTGTTTTAACTCCAATGTAGCTCAGAATCACAATTAAGAAATATCATGAGGGGGCATAACTAAATGTTGCACTGTCCCATATACTGTTGTGCCATCATGATCTGGTGTTGTCTGCTATTAAAAAGTGCACAATTTAAAAAGGTGCAGGCCAAAGAATAAACCAAACCATGGTTCTGTAAGCCTATAGCTTTTGTTTCCATTGAATTGGTTGGTGTAAATTTCTTATGGAACAGTACAATATGTCCTACCCTGAGCTCAACTTCTAGCAGCACAAACACGCAACCACACAAGCATGTTGGCTCCTTTCATAAGCAAGTCAATGAAGTCCTGAATCTAACACGGGATTACTTCCAATAACATGTAGCATTTATTGGATAACTATTTTATGGAACTAGAAAAGAATAGTCAGCTGAGAAAAAATGAGATAGGAGTAACTGCCAGTCTCAATTCAATATGTCAAAAGTAAATCTATCATTTTCTCAACTATAACTGCTTAATTAACCAGCCTTATGAATGACATAGTCAATAAGATTGCTAATTTGCATCATGCAGCAGAAAGCTAGCAGCATATCGTGCCCAAAGTACTTTGATGGGTCCAGTACCATAGTGGTGCCAATAGGAAATTTGGGGTGAAACTTGTGAAATTACATACCACTAGAGGATGATTCTGAGCCACTACTAGAACTGCTAGATGTACTATGCTTGCTGCTTCTGTCTGCTGTTTCATCTTCAAGTACCACAGGAGGAAGAGTCGAAACTGGAGGGTCATTCTCCCCAATATCAACATCCTCGTCAATGAGCTCATTGCCTGAAAACATGCATATAATATTTTAGCTTACATGAAAAATCAGTATCATAAATGAGCAATGGATGAGAAACAGACCTTCATCGTTACACACTGATGGATTGATGAGTTCATATTGACTCCGAGACTGTTGAGCAGAGTATAAAACAGTTATTTACAAAATGAAACAATGGAATAGCAATCTCTAATACAGCAGCACCCACCTCAACCTCATGAGGCTCCTCTTCTGTAAGGATTCTTGACGGATTAACCCTGTCATAGTCATCAAGTAGCTTCTGTAATTCAAAAAGTGTATCATCTCCAAGAGCATCCATATCAAGCTCTAATTCCTCTTCGTCGGCATTGCAATCGTCAGCGTGACTCCTTATGAACTCAACTACATGATCTGGAATGAATGCACCATATGATTGTAATCTTGCACTTAAATCGTATTTTTGCTCACTCGCCATCACTCTCTTTCCAGCTGGAACAATATCCTCTACCAAAGGAGCATCTTGTACCAAAGGAGAGGTTTTCCTCTTCTTTGGTTGCAAAACTGGATTGTCCGCTGAATCTTCTTCCCGAAAGATGTCTTGCTTAGGTACACTTTTCTTTGACGGTTTTTTCTTGGTGGGGTCTTCTTTCTCAATGGCAACTCTCTTAGTTGAATTCTTTTTTGTGGGCTCCCTCACAGGAGGCTTCTCAACTGGCTGAGGAGGCCTCTCGTCTGGTTGAGGCTTCTCATCTCGTGGAGGCTTCTCATCTGGTTTAGGGAGCTTCTTCTCAATAAGCCTCCATCGAGTCTCAAAGTTCTTGCTCAAAGTTTTGGCCATTAAATGAACATCATTATTGACAGGGTTATAATTCATAGCATTGCTGAAAGTGAGCCTCACATCTGCAGCGAATTCCCGAGGCGTAGAGTACATACCTGCCTTCATCTTTTTCTGGATCGTACCCAAATCCATGGGCTGCTTGACTATTTCAAAATAGTCAGGGATGTTCAACTTCACAATGTCAACCGGAACAAGAAACGGGCCTGCCCATCCATGGCTCATAAGGGACTTGAGAAGGTTGGCACATTGTTTAAACGATGATGTGTGGTTAACAGAGCTGGCAACAGGTGGGGCAACAGCCACAGCCACTGGTGGCGGCGCTCCCCTGTCTGTCTGCACCGAATCGCTCCGCTTGAGCTTCTCAACCTTTTTCTTGGGAAGCACATCGCCTGCGGGAGGCGCCGACACGGCCGCCGCACCATTCATGCTCACCGCAGGCCCTCTTGAAAACAGCCTACTCTGGAGGTCCCTCACCTGCGCGAGCTCGTGGCGGAGCCTCATCTCCAGGTCCTTCTTGTCCAGAGCAGTCATCCGGGGCAGCGAGAACACCTCCCGGGGCACGCTGAACCCCGAGGCGCCTTCCCTGTCCCCGGAATTCACGCTGGCCACGCACTTCGTCTTGGGCGGAAGCGCGCAGGAGCTCCCCGAGTCGATCCTCGCGGGGCTAGCCCCGAGCCCCTTGGACTCCCCCACTGTCTCCACCACCCCGTGCCGGTAGTCGGGCACGAAGCCAAGCGGGTGGCCCTTGGAGAACCTATGCGTCTTCCCCATCATTGCTGGCTGCCGGGGGGCGGAGACGCGCTGCGCCGGTAGCAATGCGCCACCTTGGCCGCGGAATTCCGCCCGCAATTCCGGAAAAAAGACCTAACCCTAACCCCCCCGAGGCGAGAGGCGAGAGGGGGGCTAGCTTATTCCGCGGTCGCCGGGGGAGCAGGAGGAGACCCCCCCTACCAGAACCCTCGATTCGAGGGGCGAGGCAGCTCGGGTGGACGCTCCCGCGGCGAGGGGATCGAGCGGACTCACCGAGCACCACCAGCACCGCCCGCCGCCGCACCCCCGACACACCAGCCGGCGGCGGCGCCGCGAGATCTCGTGGCCTTCCGCAGGCGCAGGCGCCGCCGTCCGCGGCGCGAACCCCTTCCTCCCTCCTCCCGCTGCGCGGAGGCGGAGGCGGCGAGGGGGAAGGGGAGGCGAGGCGGCTGGAGACTAGGGGTTTCTCTCTCCTCCGCCTCTCTCTCGCCCTCTCTCTCTCTCTCCTCGCGGGCGGCTTCTCTCCTCGCTGGTGTGCCGCTCGCGAGCCTTTGGGACTTTGTCAGGGCCCGGCTGTAAGCGGCGGGGGGGCGGGGGAGCTGCGCCCGTGACTGGTCGGTGGGGCCGGATCGTGCCGCGGGGCCCCGGAACAGGGACGGAGACGCGGCGGGCGTGACCGGGCGGGACTCGGGACGGGCGTGGCGCTGGCGGCGGTTGCGTGTCCGCGCGCCTCCGCTGGGGGGCCCTAGGGCTTCGTTTGTGTTAGAAGAAGCACGTGCGGATTCTAACACAGCAGCTGCTGCCTGCTGCGCTCTGCGTCCCCCATGTGGAAAAATGTCGTCCTGCATGTGTACGAAAGGAGACGGTAGGATCATGCAGGTATGGTGTAGGAGTAACGTTTATGGCAAAAAAAAAACTGATGTCTTAAATATCTATTGCAAATGCCAAAAGAACGTGTGATTTTAACGATGAAAGAGAGAGGAAGGCAAAGGAGCTCTGGCTTTTACTCTGTTATTACTGTAACCAAGTGCAATGATGAGCATCATTCTAATTGTGGGCATACGGATGGGACAGAAAACAGCAAATGAGTCGTACAGATAGAGGTTGAAAAGAGCCAAAGTAAAAAACGTCACCGCAATGACATCATGCTATTGGGAGCTTGCTATCACGGAAAGCACTACGGTTCTTGTCGCTGTGTCTACTACACAGCATCCATGCAAGATTTCAAGTGTTTTTAATTTTAAATTATTACATATAGAATACACCCTGATCGACAAAAAAGAAAAAAAAACATATAGAACACACCCTACCTCAGTGAACATATCTGAGAGATTTTCTTTAACAATACAGTAAAATATGGACAGCCATATTTGCACATACTCACACTCTAAAGAGCAAAGCTAGCAAATCTCGACACCACATACACACGCCTGAATAGCAAAAGGGGCACGTCGCCTACTACTAACAGTGAAGAACAGCGTCGTTAAATTCTGAAATACATTAAAAAAGCGCATCACATGTCACTAAAAGTGAAGAATAATATCGTTAAAGCCTAAAATACAACTAAAGAAGCATGCCACCTACCATTGAAAGAATAGCACCATTAAATTAAAGCATGTGAAATAAATCTAAAAAAGTGAGTATTTGCATCAAGTTGAGGACTTAACTTGGATGGATAAATCCACCACAAGAAAGCTAATCAGCTGAACTACACTCGGTTACAAGATCTTGAGTTGGTTGGATAAAATAAAACGGTACAAACATATGTGTTTAATTCAAAGCAACAACAAAAGCTATCCTGTTATATCTTTAATATATCAACAGTTTAAGGGTCGATGGACATCTTCAAAATTTTAGCGGATAAGATACAGTGAACCTAAAAATTAATGGAGCCAAAATATATATCTCAAGCATAACAAGGGCCAATCTTGGGCGTGAGCCAAAGGGGCATCCGTTATAGGCCTTTGAAAGGAAGGGGCTCTCCCAAGCACATAATATATAATACTTACTATATAGCCTAAAGGTCCAAAAACTCAAGAGGACAATAGTCCACCGCTGATAATTGACATCACGTAAGTCGCGACGACTTGCCTTACCGGGACTTCAACAATGTTGTGACTCACTTATCGTCCTGATCCTCCGACAACCATCATCGTGAGATGTGACTCCGTGCAAGCAAGTGACTTAACGACAACATGGCGCCGGTCCACACAAGGCTAAAGTAAGCACCATATGTTCCATTTTTTTTACTTTAATTTGTAAATTTATAATTGAGAATCCACGCGTTAGGTAACATACCGGACACTGCGTAGCCATACACGACCTGATCTAATAGTAGTTATGTCAATTGTCTAATAGATCGTTTTGTTGGCCTAAAGACTATTTCTCAGTCTTTTATTTTGCATTTAGTCTCATCGGCCACATCAAGTTGTGATTATTATTATTGTTTATTATACCATGGGCTTCTGAGTTTTATCTTGGTTCCAACCTCATAAAACTTATTACCGCGGCTGAGCCTCAAGTTCCTGGGTGAATGCACACTGCCGTGCATTCATAGCCTCTGCATTGGCTGCTTAGACTTGAACAAGACTATTGAGTGCTTTAGAAATATTAGAGAACTCCGATGCAACCATGCCATCATCTACAAATACCCTCTTATGACATGCTGCAGATTTAATTCCACTTGCTCGGATGCTACCATGGGATGATGGTTGTGAATGGGAGTCAACTGCATTTTCGAACTGGTGGGTTACTTCAGTCACATTTCCTGAGGATAGTTCTTCATGCATTTCAAACTGATCTCCCGGGCCTTTGGCCTTCACTCCTTTTGCTAAGTCACTAGCATAAACCTCAAATAGCTTATCAAAATTCACAAAGGTCTTCCCATACAAAGCTGCTGCTCCAGGGTGACTCTGCATACATATTATGCTATTAGCAAAAAATAAATGTGATTGGAAAAAAAGTATGGTACATGTGCATGTCCTTGTATATCTTTGCCCAACCCATGAATTGCTCTTTGTCTCCAACAACCATTTTTCTTTCATCATCCCAGCCAAAGCCACTACCAGATTGTTGAATATCCAATATATAGGACAATAGCTTCTTAAGTGTCTTCACTTTAGAAGCAACATGAGGATCAGCTTTGATATTAGCATTTGGGGGTCTTGTAGCGAGCTCTTTCTCAATAAACTGAAGGTACCCAGACTTGTGACCTGTGTCCACCTTCCAACCAGAGTCATTCATTTCATACAATACATCAATAAGTACATTTTCCTCTTGTGCAGTCCACTATCTCTTGTCACTCCTCTTACTTAGCTTTTATAGTTTTGTGTCCCTTGTACGTCTATTTCATACAAAAAATAAATAAAATCCGAAGATGTATACAAATGATTAGTGCATGAAACGAAAATTGCATTGAATACAGACACAGGGTACTAAGTAAAACATTACAAAAAATGAGATGTGTCGATACACAAGCCATAGTCATCAGTTCATTAACCAAGCATCAAGTTCAGTACACACCACCATTTTTCACAATGTTCAAAATTACAGAACAATAGAATAAGCTACAAAATCCATGCGAAGCATTAAAATGCCAAGTTATCGGTGACATTTTGCTTTCCATGCATCCCACATCATACTTGCTAAAACATCTCTAAATTCCGTCCACTCAGTTGACGATTCAATACGGTCAATCACACCTAAGGTGTTGCCTTCATGCTCTAAGAAAGCATCAACTTGTGGCTCAAATGGATCAGCACTCATTTGTTGTCGGATGAGATTGTGCAGATAGCAACAGGCTAGGATTATACCAATTTGGGTATCTATTGGGTAATAAGAACCATTTCTAATTATACCTCAACGTAGCTTCAGTAAACCAAAAGTTCTTTCTATCACATTCCTTGCTGAAGAGTGCCTCATATTAAACAATTCCTCCTTTTTTTAGGTGGGTTGCTCCATTCTTTTAGGTGGTAACGCTGTCCTCTATATGGAACGAGGAATCCATCACAATTCTTGTATCCAGCATCCACAAGATAATAGGAGCCTACGTTGCAAAAGCACAATTTATTTTCTAAGCTTTAGTAGGTGTATATGGACAGTAGTCTGTACTTAACTAATATTGCTCACCACGAGGAACGTTGAGACCATTTGGCCTAGCCCAATGTTTTTGAGGCGCCGCGCGGGGCGAGGCGCCACGCCCAACCCCCTTCACAATGCCTAGGCGTTTGTGGCGGACGCCTAGGCGACGTCATACACACATTGTAAGGCGTTGTAAGCTAGAATTTTATATACTAGTGCAGCACATACATACCTAGTTTGTTGCCAATTCTTGAGCCCATGTTCCTTTCTTTCCTTTCCAAAAGCTCTTCTCCCATGTAGCATCCATCCCTCTTGAAGGAAACTACATGACAATTATAGAATTCAGCAATCAAACAGGTTATCAGTTGCTGAGAATTAAATAGGAAACAATACACAAGAGGCAAGATAACAAATTAGCAAGCATTAGTGGAATTAAATAGGAGATGCAGAGCCGGACGGCAGAGCGGAGATACACAAGAGTAGCAGAGATGCAATACACAAGAGTATACAATATTCAGACTACCTGGGCCAAGCAGAGATGCAGAGCGAACGACAGAGCAGAGGACGAGGAGGCAGAGCGGACGGCAGATGCAGAGCAGAGCATGAGGAGGCAGAGCGAATGGCCAAGCGGAGATGCTGGCCGGCTCCGCGGCAGGGGCGGCCAGCCGGTGGACACGAGCAGAGTAGTAGCCTAGCGGAGGTCGAGGTCCGTCCACCGCCTTCTCTCTTCCTCTCCCCTCGCCCGCAGCAGTGATGTGCGATGATGCGGGAGCGGCTCCACGGCAGGGGCGGACGGCCAAGCGGAGATGCAGGCCGGCTCCACGGCAGGGGTGACCGGCCGGTGGACACCAGCAGAGTAGCAGCCCAGCGGAGGTCGAGGTTCGTCCGCCGCCTTCTCTCTTCCTCTCCCCTCGCCCGCAGCAGCGATGTGCGATGATGCGGGAGCGGCTCCACGGCAGGGGCGGACAGCCAAGCGGAGATGTAGGCCGGCTCCTCGACAGGGGTGACCGGCCGGTGGACACCAGCAGAGATCGAGGTCCGTCCGCCGCCTTCTCTCTTCCTCTCCCCTCGCCCGCACTCACGGTGAATGACTCGCGCGATCGATTTCCCACGCGAAGAGGCTACCTGGGCGCACGAACGGTCGATTTCCCACGCCTCTTACTTTTCCCGCGGGCGCGCGGTTGATTTCCCATGGGGCCGCGCTCCTTTTGACACCCTTCCCCTACGACCGGCATCTGGCATCCGCGGCGCGGTTGTAGGCGTCCGCCCGACGCCATTCGCGCCTAGGCGACACCTAATCCTATGAGGCGGACGCCATACACGCTGAGGTCATGGCGACCCCGACGCCCAGGCCCTCGACCATGCCTTGTCGCCTAGGCGACGCCTCAAAAACATTGGCCTAGCCAAAGCATCTCAGAGAACCCTTGCATCGGCAACAGACCCTTCCCAACCTAATACATATGTGAATTGCATGTCAGGTGCATAAGCACCTAGAACATTTGTGGCAATTTCATTCTTTCTGGATCGATACCTTGGTTTATCAACTGGATGGACTCTAACTTTTATATACATACCATCTAAAGCACCTAAAAAATTCTATGAAAACAAAAACAAATATCTTGTTAGTCTGGAAAAAAAATTATAGGACTGTTTATTATTTAATTTAGTTTTACCTTAAACCATTTCCATCTTTCGTCCTTACAGTTGTCTGTGATTGGTTGTGGGCTCTTAAGCAGCACCCTCCAAAGCTTTAGCACTGCTCCTAGCACATTATTAAAGTGCCGACTTATCGTCTCTTGAGACCGTTGATAATCTATCCTCATGGAGCGACTTTTCTCGTCGTAAGCTAGTGTATGTAGTGAAGGAGAATAGAATTGGTGGAATTGGATGATATATTGCATTGGGCCTCATGGACTGATTATATAGAGTACATAGGACTAACACCCCACGTGGGTAGACAATGTGGTACTATTCTTATTTACTCTAACATCCGTCACAGCGGGAGCGCTACATACGATGAGACCGGAGAAGAAGCTGACAACCTAACATCCCCCGCAGTCATAACAGTCAATGCGCCGTGTATGCTGTGGCTAGAGAAGAAGCCGATGAGTCCTCATGCAAGGCGGTAGCCCTTTGTGCCGATGTCGAGGTAGCCAAGCGTGAGGGCGTAATAGCCGTGGTCGAAGAAGCCGTACTGAAGATGGCCGAGGTCGACGTAGTTGTGGTCGAGTTGCCATGTCGATGGAGCTGCAGGCACACAAGGGGCGCCAAGGTGATGATGGAGACGCATCGAGGCAGTCGTCGTGGGAGTGGGCGATGCCGAAGTCGACGCAGTCAGGGCCGTCATAGACGTAGAAGAAAGGCGACGACGCAATCGAGGCAAATGGGGTGGGACGGGATGGTCAATGCCGAAGTCGATGCAGTCAAGCCACTTGAGCGCCGAGGCATGGCTGGGTTTGCCAGACCCAACAATGTGTCGGGGATGAAAGCACGCGTCGGTGTTGCCAATACCGTGCGTACAAGGTAGAGGGACCCAACCATGTGGTTGTGCTCGACGAAGAAGAAGCAATGCAGGAGAGGACACGTCGGCGAGCAGGGCTCAGCGACGACGCGAGGGGGCGGCCGGCAAGCAGGGCTCAGCGACGGCGCAGGTAGCAGCAACTCGATGATGAAGACCCAATCAACAGGGCAAAGACCTTGTGCAGACGGATGGCGCGGCAAAGTTGCGCAGCACAATCATCGATGCACAGGGGACAGCGATGTAGATGCAATGGCGAAGCGGAGACATGGGCGGCGGTGCTACGAATACAGCTGCAAGCCAGCAACCCTGTTGCTCGGAGAAGATGTGCATAGGACTCGGTGGTCACGCGATGTCGCGTGAGGATGGCGCAGATTGGTCGGCCGCCACCATGGCAGCTCGGTGTTGGGGTCGACCTGGCCCGGGCCACCACCACGACAGCGTGGGATGGGGGCGACGCCCAACATCCTCCATGGTGAGCGCGGTGAGGGCGACAAGGTAGCGCAACATCGCGAGAAGACCTGAACTGCTGCTTGACGACGACGAAGATGGCAGCGGGATCAATAGGATCCGACGCCTAAAGGGGTGGCGCTGCCCCCGACGAAGATCGATCTCTCCCCGAGGGCGTGCGGTGCGGAAGCGGCGGCAGCTAGGGTTAGGATCTAAACCTAGGCGAATGATACCATGAAGGAGAATAAAATTGGTGGAATTGGATGATATATTGCATTGGGCCTCATTGGCTGATTATATAGAGTACATAAGACTAACACCCCACGTGGGTAGACAATGTGGTACTATTCCTATTTACTCTAACATGTAGAAACAGTGCAACCATCTCCTCCACCTTGACATTTCTAGTATCCCTTAATCCCCCAATATCTGTGACCAAATTGCACAAAGTCCAAAAACACCGCCTATCCATCCGCAGTTGCTCAACACACAGGATGTCACTTTCATAGATGATATCATTCAAATTCTTTGATCGGCTTTCTAGGTCAAACCTACAAGGTTCCCTAATTAGCCTAATCTGACGCTTTCTAATCAATAGGAGGCAATGCAGGACTAACACATGTAATGCCATCAGAAGCCTTATTCTACGACATCCCATTTGTTGGCATAAGACTAGGATGTGAAATAAAATTTGAAATTAATAATAGCTTCAAGTTTGGGTTCGCTACACTTAAAACACATAGGAGCAAAACAAAGGCATGCACGGGAAAACATATACACACAATCAAACAGTGCGTAAACCACAATTAATTAAAATATGCATGACAAGATTACGTACACTGAACCATAAATAATACCTCGTCAGTGCTGACTTGTTGGGCCGCGTCATCACAAGTTGGATAGGCGCTAACAACATTTTCATTATGCTTAATGTAAACCTCTAGAAACTTGGCCTGATTCGAATATTTCATCATGTCACAAACAGAAGCATCATCTTTCAGGTGGTCAATACCAGCGTCATCAAGGCTACGGCCGGGAATGGCATAATAGAGAGTATCGCCTTCCTTGAAGCCTACAGTTTTAGCCAGCTGCACTAAACTGTAGTAGGATATTTTGTCCATCTCAATTTTTGGAAAAAGTGTGATATCGCCTCCATCATAAGTTAGTTCACCGTGCTTTGAAAAAGCACCTCCACGATGCATCAAGATATTGATACACCCTGAAGCCATTATCTCTCTGTATTTGTGAAGTCAATGTTAGGTAAAAAAAATCATGCATAAAATGGCATATCCCTATGGATGCAGGCTAATTACACATGTGAGGATACATTAGTGAAAATTACTATTGAAATAAAGTGGCGTAATGTACATACTAGTGACATTGGTAGGCAAGACCAAAAGCATGCATATATACTATATAAGATCAACGCACTAGGCTAATAAAGTAAGAGAGCACTAGTACTTATTATTAGTTAATCTAGAACGCATCTGGGAACAAACCGACGAACAATGATTCTTTCTCACCTAATTTTTCTATACATGAAACTTCAAATTCGTTGGACAGGATGCACAACCAATCATCAAGCATGGGGGAGAAAGCAGCTATCTATCAACGAAAGAAGTAAAATGGAGGGCAGGAACTGAGACGTTATGGAAGAATTAGAAAAATCACCTGCTCAAGCTGGTCGGCGGCCACGTTGCTGGAGCCAAGTAGGATTCAGGCGGGAGATTTAGCGAGGGCCGACCGTGCTTGCGGACACGAGGCCGAGCGGCGACGACGCTGCCGTCGAGGCGACAGGCAAGGGTTCGCCGAGGCACTCGGGTGCGCGGCTGGCACGGGAGCGCGCGGTCGTCGGCGCGCGCAGTGGAGGCTGTGGACGGTGGCGGCGTCCAGGTAGGCACGTGTGCTGGAGGCCAGGGATCTAGGATGAGGGAGACAAACAAAGAACCAAGCTTTATGCAGTCACTTTTTTATGGCAAAAAGGTAATTTTGCATGGCACTCCACCGTATCCCGCCCAAACCCACCCGCGCCGGTGGGTTTTGAACGATGAAGCGCAAAACCCATACCTATACCATATCTCTTCCCAAACCATGTACCCAAACGTAAGTTTAGATTAATTTCTTCTCCTATTTCCTAATCCCACCCCCAGTTTCCATATATCCAAACGCCGCCTCAGGGGTTCTGGGTATCCATAGCAGTTCACACAGTCGTGACCGCACCCCGCCTTCCGTGCGTCCGCAGCCACGAAAGACGAAACCACAAAGCCAACCACGGCACAAGTGGCCAACACCACCAAACGGAAAACGGGAACGGGGCAGTTGGAGTTGGGACTTGGGAGCCGACGCGGTCGGTGTGATCCAGTCGGCCCCCGGCGAGCGCGCCCCTGCCGAGCCTTCCCCTTCCCGGGAGGAAAGGGAACCTTCCACTCCCAGAGCCGGCCGTGACCGACCGTGAGCGAGCCATGGTGGAACCCATCGCCGCCGCCGCCCCGCCGCCGGGCGCGCCCTCGTTCTCCTACCTGGCCGTGTTCTCCAACTGCCCGCTCGTCGCCGCCGTGCTCGCCTTCGCCATCGCGCAGTCCATCAAGGTCCTCACCACCTGGTACGCCCTCCTCCCCCTCTCCCTCCCATGCGGGCTCGGCCGGTGCCCCGGATCTGAGCTCTCTCCCTCTCTGACGGGATCTGCATCTGCCGCCCGCGCGCCGTGCAGGTACAAGGAGAACCGGTGGGACGCGAAGCAGCTGGTGGGATCCGGCGGGATGCCGTCCTCGCACTCGGCCACCGTCACCGCGCTCGCCGTCGCCGTCGGCCTGCAGGAGGGGCTCGCGAGCTCGCTCTTCGCCACCGCCGCCGTCTTCGCCTCCGTGGTTGGTTCCCCCTCCCCGCTCGCTCCCTCTCTTTCGACACCCAAAACGCGTTGACCATCTTCGGTGGGCACTGGATCTGATAGGTAAACCTTATGATTTTGGGACGCGTTGTGGTGAACTGGTGATCAGGGAGAGTAAATGAGTGTCCTTTGCACTTAAAAACTTCGGCTTGGTTGTAGCCCACTTCACTTCAAGCCTGGGGGGCTCAGTTGTGGAAGGTACATTTTGTTGTGTAGATTGTGGACAGAAGTACAAGTACAATACATAGGTAGGAAAAGACCTAGGAAATTGATGGGAGTTTGTAAGTACACTAAAGACTAGGAAGAGACTGTAGGACATTAGTGCCAATTTGTTGCTCAAGTTTCAGACTTTCAGTTGATATCTACAGAACGATAAATTCAGGCCATGTTTAGGGCGCGTTTAGACGCAAAAAAATTTGGGTTTTGGCTACTGTAGCACTTTCGTTTGTATTTGTCAATTAGTGTCTAATTATGGACTAATTAGGTTCGAAAGTTTCGTCTCGCGATTTCTCACCCAACTGTGCAATTAGTTTTTTTTTTCGTCTACATTTAGTACTCTATACATGTGCCGCAAGATTCGATGTGATAGATACTGCGCAAAAAAATTTGGGAACTAAACATGCCCTTAGTTCCGGCCGGATTCGGCGCCACAGGAAACCCAAGGCACTGCAGGACACTGTAGCGTACTGTAGCATTTCGTTTGTATTTGGTAATAATTGTCCAATCGTTGACTAATTAGGCTCAAAACGTTCGTCTCGCAAAGTACAACCAAACTGTGCAATTAGTTTTTGATTTCGTCAACATCTAGTACTCCATGCATGTACCGCAAGTTTGATGTGATATGGAATCTTCTTTTTGCATAGTACCAAATTCAGGAATTTAGGGAACTAAACATGGCCTCAGTTGGGGATATGGTGGAAATCTGACAGCTAAGATGTACTGTCAGATCAATAGTAGGAGATTCTGTACTTTGTTTAGTGTGCCTAGTTCTTACATTCAAAGCTCACCTAGTACCTGACTTCGTTTGGAAATTCAATCAAACCTGTAGAACAAAGGATAACAGCTAAACTGTGGAAAATTTTCCATAATTGTACATATAAGTGTGTCCAAAACCAGCTATGCAAAAATGCAAAATGATGGCATACAGTACCATAACACCTACTCCTAGGCATGTGTCATGTGCTTTAACACCCACAATCCGTCCCCACTTGTCCCATCTTTTCATTTTGGCATCTCGAAATACTGATTAGTTCTTGTGACCTTTTTCATCACCTTTTTTTTTCTTCAGAAATGCAACATTCTGCACTCTGATTTTACTGTATGCACTGCTTCTCATTTTACTGACTTGGCTAGTTCTTTCAATACTTTGCAGGTGATGTACGATGCTTTTGGTGTTAGGCTACATGCAGGGAAGCAAGCAGAGGTATTACCACCTTTCTATGTTATATAGCCACTGACAAGAAAAATTATTTATGAAGGCAAAAAAGTTGTGAACCAATGAAAAAAGGAGTTCCCTTCTGAAATCATGTGAAAAACAGTGGCAAATAGTGACCAACCACTAAAACTGGGTTCTCTTATTCAGGCAGAATGGCACCTAGCTTGTAGTGTTGCTCAATCATTATATGAAACCTCATTGATTGTGTGAACGAAAATAAAAAAACCTAGACCTGACAAGTAAAATACTAAAATGGTCTTTCGATTGAGAAGCATTATGTTGCTCACCTGCAGCAGTTCAGATCTAACTATTATAAAATGCCAGGTCTTGAATCAAATTGTGTATGAGCTTCCATCAGAACATCCACTGGCTGAAACAAGACCACTGCGAGAGCTGCTAGGGCACACACCTCAACAGGTTTGGTCTTTTTCTCCTAGATTGTGCTGTTGGGGAGTTCATATGATATACTAAACCTCTGCTGAAGTAAATTTTGTTAACCAGCCGATTGCTCCTCGAATCATATTTGCATCATCCTAACATCAAGTGCACATTATCCAGATCATTTCACTAGAAAATCTGTCATGCGTGTGGATATTTGGTATCCTTACTCTCACATGCCACAACAGATTATTAATTACAAGTTTTATCACCAGGTATTTGCTGGCGGAGTGCTTGGATTTGCAGTAGCCACATTTACAGCAACGATAGCTGGGCTTGGGAGTTGACTCCACATTTAAAGGAATGATCCACATTTGCATTGAAGTTCTGGAATCCAAATTGGACACATGTTTCCAGCCAGCTTATGATAGATAATGAATTGTGTCTCATCTGCGTGTTCAGAGGGGAAAAAAAAATAATGCATTGTGTATAGGTGTATTTAATATGCAAAACCACTGTCAATTTGTTGAAGAAAAACTCGCGCCATTCTTTTGTAGCTATTCGATGAGTGAACTATATGTTGTATTCATTTTTTGTCCAAAGTATTTGGAGTGATTGAAGTACGTCGTGATAAAGCATCTGAGGAGATTTCTGCTCAAAACTCTTGTGATTGATTTCAATTTACTAGACAACAACGAAAATCCTTTTGTAACTATGTTCTTCAGCCAAAACCGACTGAGAAGTATCGATGTGGCACTGATCTTGTTTTTTGTTGACTGTGTTGAAACTTCATATATTTGATTACCAAACCTTATATTCTACTACAACAACAGTCAACAGCATCAACAGCTGCCAATTGCAACGAACGTGCCCAGCCAGGCAGCCACCTATCCGGCGCTCCGCCTCCTCTCCTACACGCGCCGGCCGCCGTCTCCACTCCTACCGCTGCCTGCACCGGCCACCTTTCTCTCTCCTCGGCAAAGATCCCATGATGCTCCGTCCTACTGCAACTGCAAGGCATTGCCCTGCATCAGCTTTTCCGTCGTGTGTCCGTCTGCGCACCACCTCTTCAGTCAGCCCAGAGCCCACTCTGTATGACTCTATATCTCTGGCGTCTACAACCGTGCCAAGGTGAGGAACGCAACTGAACATCAGTGCTATCACATATATGCATATAGCCTATTCGATTAAATGTCTGAATGGTGTGGAGGCTTTTCTTTTTGTCACAAGATCCTCTGTAATTGGGTTCAAAATCTAGCCTTGCCGAAATCAATATGCCTAATTTGGTTCAACTGTACAATCGGCAAGCAGCAAATGTAATGTCAATTTCGTTCCCAACTTCTCACAACTATTATTCACAAGATTTTACCGTGTAGCATAATTGGGCTCAGAGTCCTTAATCTATTTGTCATTGCCTCTTGCACAGGAGGTCTTCAAGGATTCTTCTTTTAATACGGTGTGCCTTGGTCAGAAAATAACGTTTGACTTAATAAGTGAAAGAGAGTGAGGTAAGCTCTGCATTCCTTGAAGCCAAATGTCAATACGTGATCCACCTATAGTTGCTTCTTTTATCTCTTTGTTGGGTTTTGCAGATCCAAATTGGTAGGCATGCCTAGAATACACAGTAACTAACTATGTTGGGCTTCATCTGGCTGAGAGATCAAGCCGGAGAATCATTTTCTCTAAAATAAATTTGCAGATCGTTGTGTTTACTTTATCCCATCATTCAAGGCCTTGTTTAGATTAGGGCTAGGAATCAGTATTTGGTACTGTAGCACTTTCGTTTGTATTTGACAATTATTGTCTAATCATGGCCTAACTAGGGTCAAAATATTCGTCTCGTAATTTACAATCAAACTGTGTAATTAGTTATTTTTTTATCTACATTTAATACTCTATGCATGTGTCCAAAGATTTGATGTGACGGAGAGAGAGTGAAAAAACTTGCAATCTAAACAAGGCACAAGTTCTTATTCTATCACTTTCATTTCCCTGCTGTGTTTCACTTCCATCATTCAGGGCCACTTTGGTACAGCTCCCATTCCTGCTTTTTGAGCTCCACTTCTTGGTTCTTCGAATGAGTGATTCTGGTGGGGGAGCAAGGTGGGGAGTAGGTGTGAATCAATTCGGCAGTGTTCCTGTGGCAAATGAATGGGAAGCAGTGGAAGCGATGGAGAGCGAGTTTTTTTTTAGCTCTCAACTCGTAGTGTAAATGGGGAAGTGATTCTCGTCAGCTCACCCACCAGAATCCAGTTGCATTTTAAGTGTTTGACAGAGCTCCGCAAAAGCTTAGCGTGAAGCTGAGGCTGGGAGCGGTGCCAAAGGGGCCTGAAGCTCTCCTATCTTAATTCTTAAGGCACGGAGAAACCCATTAAGCCAATGACTGTGGCTTGTGCAGTTCATAACATACTCATCCACCATGTTTGCACTTTTTGCCTATTGGATTGGAAACCATTACTCTAGCTTCATTCTTGCCCTACACTACAAATGACTAATGTGATATATGTTGTCTAGATGCCATTGTGAAAGGACCTAGGATGCAGCCTAGAGGGGGGTGAATAGACGTTTCTGAAAATTAACATCTTTAAATGTGGAAACGATTAGGAAAGGGAGTTTCCAAAATGAAAACTCCAAATTAAGACTAATATCACCCATCATAAGTTAGCCACAGAGTAAACAAGGTATAAAGAATATATCTAGAAGCTACAACCCTGCAACACAAAGTTAGAACAGAGATCAAATAAATTCAGCACTGAGCTCTAATACCGAACGTGTCCGGTAGGTATACCGGACGTGTCCGGTATATACGGTTTCAGTGGAACAGTCCAAAACTTGCTCCTTTCGATTTCTATCTTCCAACCAAACTACAGGTACCTAATAGAGATGACAAGATACACAGAGAGCTTACACAAGAGCTAGAGCAACACAAATATCAAATGAAATACGAATTGAGACACGATATTTGTTTTACCGAAGTTCGGACTCGTTCGAGTCCTACTCTCCGTTGAGGGGGCTGCGGGCGACCCAGCGAAGGTCAGCCCTAGAGGGTACCACAAAGGTTACTCTAGCCGGAGTCTTTTCCAACTCCTTTTTCTCCTTCCACTAGTTGATTCCGAGGCGGCGGAATTGACCGTTACAAACTTTCCGAGGCACACCACAATCTCTCGGGTGCTCTCCGGCGACGCCTAACCGTCTAGGACCGAAGAGTCCAAGAGTAACAAATGCGAATCACGAAATAGACAATATGCACAAGTGCTCAAGTGGTGGCTTGCTCTCTTTTTCAAATTATCTCTCAACCCACAAATGGATTTGACAATTGGGATGAATCACTCACTAAGAGAGGGTTTGGGAGAGTTGGCAAAGCTCATAAACGTGCTAGAGCATCAGCAGAATCAGCAGCATCCAAAGGTGGATGCTTGGGGGTATTTATAGCCCCTTTGAAAAACTAGTCGTTTTCTAGCCGTTAGAATACCGGACACGTTCGGTATGCCTTGCACTGCGCCAACGGTAACTGAGTGAAGTATTGTTGTTAGACGTTGGAACTCCCAACGAATGCCGAAACTCCCGACCCTTAGCTCTTTTGAAAACTAGCCATTGGGCTCTCACTGAGTTAAAGTATGTGAGGTGTCAGAACTCCCGACGCATGCCGGAACTCCCGACCGTCGGAACTCCCGACTCACGTCGGAACTCCTGACCCTCAGCTCATTTGTAAACTAGCCGTTGGGCTCTGGTCGTCCACACGTCCGGTATGAATATCGGACACGTCCGGTATGACCAGGATAGTGAACTCTCCAAGTCAGTTAAGCGCGAGACGTCAGAACTCCTGACCATTGCCGGAACTTTCGACGAACCAACCCGAGAACAACAACTTTACCATTGCTGGGCAAATACCGGACACGTCCGGTATCAATACAAACCAGCAAAAAGCAGGTTAGCTCTTTTGTCTCTCAAACACTCAAAACTCACATGGGTTGGCATGAGCACTTATGAATGATTATCTATCAACATGATGCATCCCTCTTAATAGTACGGCATACCTATTAAACTCAAGATCAACGGAAAAACGAATTTATACCACTTGAGTTGATCTCTTTTGAATTGATGCCGTGTCTTTAAATTTTCATCAAGTGAGGGTGCCAACATGTCGATATTTGATCTTCTTACTTGAGCATAGCCATCTTGAGCACGGGACTTGATTCCATTCATCAAATATGAATAATCCCAAATGTATCAAGTCACTTTCATCAAATACTCTAATAGTGATTTGATCCTCCACATTAACATGACCATCATAGCTTGATTAGTACCTCAACTAAATGCAAGTACTTCCTTCTTCACCCTAGCTAGGTTCTTTGGCCGCCAAGCCGTCGCTTGCCCTTTACCCTTGCTTAGTACCTCGAAGCCTTTCTTTGCTATCTTCACCATCTTAAACCATCAAGTCACATCTTATGTTGAATCATCCATTCATTTGTATTGTTATCCTTTTCATTTTAATTTAGCAAGCTTCAAATATGAGACCATTACATATGCAATCCCTCATGTCTCATTAATTAATTCTTATCGAGCTTGCTTTCACATAGTACATAGAAATCCCACAACAAATAAGCCTTTGCATGAATTCCATTTGCATTGTTGTCTTATGCTTGAACTAGATTGTTTATACAACAACACATCATTTTGGCTTTCATTAAGTACCTGTGAGATAACCTATTTTCTGTTCACACTTAGCAAACGGGTTAGACCTTTAATCACGTTGTCATTTAATCATCCAAAACCCACTAAAGGGCTAGATGCACTTTCACATTGCTTTCTCTAATAGATAATGTGGGCCA